AAATTCCTTCAGATTAAGCATAAGGTCTTTCTGTCTTTTTTTATACAAAGTGGTTATTATTTTTTTAATTTGATCTCCAAATGATAATTTATTTGATAAGTTTGAAGCAAGGCTATCTTTATAAAGTAACTTATTTTCAATGATAATTATATAATGTGAATGACAGACTTGTTGACTAGACTGTAAGTAGGTATACTGTTAAATTATACTATTAGTAACTGCTTTTTTAATAGCCAATTAAGTTAAATGCTAAAAAGAATTTGAATTTTTTTGCAATTTTTAATGAAACAAGAACCATAATTGGTTTTTTGTTTTGGCATTTTATTAAATAAATTTTAATAAATTTTATTAACAAGTTTTACATTTAATTTAATTTTAAATTACATAATTTATAATTTATATCATACAAATGTCTGTGATATATACAAAAAGTACTCTAAATATATTTTATTACATATAATATTAAACTGTATTATTATAAATATTTATCTTACATGAGAGTAGTAAATTGGCTTATTGGCTGTATTATCACAAATATTTATCTTACATGAGAATAATGAATTCAGTCTAAATTAAGTTATTTATTAGTTACCAAAGGTGTAAATTGGCTTATCAGCTCTATTAATTTATTAATTTTTTTATTATACAAATATATAAACTGGTCAAGCTGTTTTGTATTTCTACTAGCCAATCAAAAAATTAATAACTATTAGCCAATCAAATAATTTAAAATAATGAATGATCAATGGCCAATCAAATTGATTTTTAACTATGCTTTTTGTGTTTGTGCACTTTTTATATAAACTAAATCTTCTTTTAGATTTTTCTGTATGTGTTGTATTTTTTTTTTTTTTTTGGTATTAAGGTGACCTCTTTGGTCTTTTGACTTTCATCAGGAAAGTTTTTAAAAGTGCTATATATTATTAGTAATCCTTAGATTACTATCGATATATAGCATCTTGCAGAATATCATTATTAGTGATTACTAATGATATATAACAAAAATTTAACAAATTTTATAAAAATTATTACTAATTGATAATGATTATAATTGTTTATAATCATTATATATCAATAATTATTATATATTGATAGTAATATATATCGATATATAGCAACTAATCGATATATATTGATTATTTTTTTTTTTAATCTATATATATTGATTAAATGCTATATATCGATACAAATCTGCTTAAAAATTTTTCTGATATTTATTAATAACTTATTGGTATTGTGGTTCAATGAACTACTACAGAAAAGAGTACAATTAACTACACGTATAACTTTTTTATATTACCTATTTAAGGAGTTCACTTAAAGGTTCTCTACCAATTGCTATATCTAACACCTATGCTTGAGTGTTCTACTTTAAACCCTCTGAATCTGTAACATGTGTTAACTTACTAGGTTATACTCAGATGCCCAAATCATCATCTCAACCTTAGGACTAATTTATCCTCAAGATAAACCTTCCAGAGCCTTTTGTATTTATTTTTACAACTAATCTAGGTATCACTATGGCAGAACCAACACTTGCAGTCAGGGCTGACTATTAAACTGCTATGCTTTTGTAAAGTTTACTTAGATCCTAGCATTTATTTCACAGCATAACCCTAGTACTTTAGTATATTTCAGCCTTTTAATCTGCCTTTTTATTAAACTTCCAATTCAAATAGCCTATGTAGGACTATGACCAGTCCATCAGTATATCAGGTCAACCTAATATTCTTTTCCTCTAGTTCATTTTAGCAGCCTGGTTGGTAGTACCTCTGAGACTTCCAACCCAAAGGTTCTTATCCATCTGGCTACTACAACCAGGTACTATGATCTTGGTATCTGTTTCCCCAAGCTATCCTTTACAGTAGGGCCATTGAAGATTCAGCTACCTCTCTACTCAAGTCTTCTTAAATAGACTTCTTGTTATCTAATTTTAATGAATTTATACAGCCACAAGGACTTATCTAGTATTTGCATTATTTAATTTGTCAGTTTGCATTTTTCTGTATAATACCATACTTATACAGATGCCCCATAACCTGCCAGTCATGCTGGTGCAACTGCTATTACAGGTATCCTAACCCAATTGTTAGTAACAGTTGCTATAATATGAATATTACTTAGGTAATTATCTAAATTTTTACCATCGATAGGATTTGAACATCCAACCTACCATTTGGAAGGTTGACAACCTGATCACTTCACTAGGTTGCCACACCCCTGTGTTGTATTTGTTTGTTTACCTTTATTTATTGTTATATGCTTTATCTATTACTAAATTTATACATATCTGTATTTGTTTATTTCTGCTTTTAGTCATATATTTCTGCTTGTTGTTTTCAAGATTAATGACAATCTCAGAAAATTTCTGTAATTTTTGAAAATTTTCTTGTTTTTTGTAAAGTTTTTGTTCTAGTGTCTTTTATTTTTTTTTAGCTATTGTGTCTTTATATTATTTTTATATATTTTATCTTTCTGCTTCTTTTTTCTTATAACACTTTCATATGTTTTTTATGTTGTTTTTTGTATTGTTGTCAATTTTGTATTTTTTCTAAGTTTGTAAAAAAGGATCAGTAAAAAAAGTTTTTTTTGATTATATATATATCTATATTTTTTTTTTTTGTATTTTGACGATAATGCCAGTTGGTTTATTAGTTTTAATTTGATATAATACAAATTTACTGTTATATTTTTTAGAATTAATTATTACTAGTACTATATTTTATTTAATTTTATACTACTGACTTTACCTAGTTACCTATATGGCACCTAAGTGCATGTTTATTACATGCCTGCATGCAGTTATCTTAATAATCACTTGTGGTCAGAGCATATTATTAAACTACTACACAGATAAGAATATTTACCAAACTTAATATGCTATCCCAAATAACAGGGATACTGTCTTCTGTAAATTGTACCCATATGTTTTACTTACATGTTTTACCTAGTTTTGTTTCTTCTGCCTCTTAATCTAACTATATTTAGTATTACCTTATTCTCCACATTTTTCATCTTTTTTGTTACTGTATTACTCCCAAATTAATCCTATTCAGGTATGTTTAATCCTTATGATCTTCTTATTTTTAGTATACCTGTTATTGATTTCTCTAAAGTGTTCCAACAATGGTCTAGAATTTGCAAAGAACCTGTATCTCAAGCCAAATCTGCTACTGCCATTGATCTTTTTGACCAACCCATATCTCAAGCCAGATTTGCTGCTATGTTCTTACAAATACTCTAAGATTTAATATTATACAATAACTTGATGCTGTATTTAACTTTCAATATAGTGCTTCCTTCTATGATAAGGACTGAGACTTGTTGTACTTACAAACAGAACAATTCTGATTATACCTATAGAGTTTCTCTGATTCTAGTGATACTATACTACCATATATTGCAAACTTCCAGCTTATTCGATAATATCTGTAGGATAATTCTGGTTATGTCTCAAGGAGTTATATTGACTCCAGTAATGCCATACTATCTTGCAGATCTTATCTCACATTGGTTGATTAATCCTAGTCTTGTTCATCATAAACTTTCATATAAGTATGTCAGGAACCTAATTTGGTATTTTTATATTACATAAAGAAGTTATACATCAACCTTCAAGATTTTTTTTTTTTATAATTAGATTATTTGACTATATCAGAGGTGCTTCCAATTTTTGGTTAGACCAATTCTTTATTACAGTTCATCTTTGTGTTCACTGCTTTTCTCATTATTCCAGTCTTGGTTACTTTCAAAATACTCTTCCAATCAAATCCTCTTCTTGAATCCTAATTAAGACTTATTTGCATAATTTATTGATTATTCTTTCAATCAAGTACCTCACAAATTAGGTGCAGAAATGTTGGTACTGTTTATATTAGGAAGTATAAAAATGTTAGTGCTGCCCTAGTCTAAAGAACTTATATATGTAATCTTTCTATAACTATAACCTTCTGTAACAACTGCTTGTTATATATAGTGTCTGCACTTTACGATTAGGTCTTCTTTTAGGAATTCCTATTTCTATTATTGTACTGCACTTGGACTTAACTACAGGGCTTCACATTCAATTATAGGCTCCTTATTAGGTTACAGAAGTTAAAATCTTTCAATTTTAACTCTAGTCAGACTTGAATCATTAACCTTGACTGTGGATAATTATATATATTTATAATTTAGTTACAATAAAAAATGTAATAGTAATTATATATATATTGTTTTTATAAGAGAAATTTTATATTTTAAAAAGATGGAACTATAAATTTATGTAATTTTATAGAAGTTGTATTATAAAGAAGATGATTATAAAGAGAAAAGACTGTATATACTTTTAGATTTCAATTCAATTTTAATAGTATTGTATAGAAAAATAAAGTAAAAGCTATAAAGTGCATAAAACATTATTTTATTTTATTTTATTTTAAATATTAAAGATGAGGCCATGCCTTTAATTTTATTGGATTTTACAGTATTAATAAATAAAAAACTTATTAATTAAAACTTTTATTTAAAAATATTGCTATTTGTATACAATGCAAAAATATCTATTATATAATATACCAATTTTATTAATAAATTTTACTTATTTAAGGTTAAAATAAAAATAGAGTTAGAACTTAAAAAAAAAAAAAATACTATAATTTATATTAAAAAAATTGGTATTTTTTTTTTAGTAAATTTTTCCTTTACGAAAAGATTACTGTAATGATTCCTGCTTCGTTTCCAGAGTCGTGTGTTTAACACCACTTTTCTGACTAAAAAAAGAACTTTCCTAGCTGCTTTAAGAATGTTTAAATGTGACCTACCATATCAGCCTTACTTATTAGAGAAGTATCTTAAATTTCAAATAAGTGCCACCTATACTATATTTTATCCATCAGAAGTAAAAAACTATTGAAAGGTTTATCATTTATGATTCAACGTCTATTTTGTGTGAAAAACTTTCGCTTCTATAATTATTTTTAATTTATTGTATACATTTCCAATATAAAGATTAGACTAGTCTATGAATCTACTCTTAGGTTCTTGGTTTGAAAATGTAACGATATTTTAATAATTTTTAGTATTGATTTAATAAATTTATCAGGTTCTTGAGTTTGATACTATTGATCGAAAATGGGCATATTTTTGATTTTGGTTATTATCCCAAATCAAGTAGAAATCCCGATTACTAAACCAAAACTATGTAATTAATGTCATCGTTCAGAAAAAGGTTTGTGTCGCAACTCTAGCCTTTAGCCTTTGATTTTCTTCTCGAAGTCGTTCGACCTCTTCACGAAGTGACAATGTTTCCCCACAATATTTCAGAAACATCATTTCCATTTCAGTCTGATGATAATATATATATGTTAATTAAAACTGAAATTATATATAAAGTTAACAAATATATATACCGTTACCTTTTGAATATGAAATTGTCGCAATAATTCTAAATGCATATTTTGTATGTCATTACGTAAAGATGTTCGAAACTCTTGCAAACATTCATCAACTGCATTCCTAATGACTTGTAATGGAAAATCTGAAGTTACTTCCATTGTGGTATTGTCATCTATTTCCTCTCTTACTGACGAAAACATATCCATATCATTTTTTTCCCTAGTATCATTTGGAGTTTGTGCTGGTGGTGGCGGCGAAGGCCTTGAAATCTTACTTAAAAAGTCTGAAGTAATTTCCATGGTGGTATTTCCATTTACTTCCTCTCTCACTGGAGAAAATATATCCATATCATTTTTTTCCTTCGTATCATTTGGAGTCTGGGTTTGTGGTGAAGGCCTTGAAATCTTACTTGAAAAGTCTGTAATCAATTCCGTGGTATTTATTTCTTCTCTCACTGGCGAAAACATATCCATATAATTTTTCTCTTTTGTATCATTTGGAGTTTGTGGTGGTGGTGAAGGCCTTGAAATCTTATTTGAAATCGGAGGAGTTGACCCCCTTGACGATGTTTTAAAATGACTCTGTTTCTTGACAATAGTATTACGCCGGTCCGTAGAACGATCTTTCTCCTGTCATTACATGAGTATAAATTTGATAAGCATACCCTCTCTTTAAATCCCGTATGGTTAATAATTGTGATGGAATCAGATTAAATTAAATGAGTGATAGTATCAATAGACAAGCCACAAAAAATACAAAATTTTGATGTGTATTTAAGGGGTAGAATTATAATAAGTGGGTTTAAGGGGTCAAATAGAAATCCCTCATTTCATTTTAATCCTATTTCATCATGATCCGCGACAATAATTACCTGAAAATGCAAACATTTAATAGAATTTGGTTCATGTCCATACAAGGTGCACATAGGTTTGCTGGCTGCTCGTAGGTCGTATACCAAAATATTACCTACCATATTATTATACTTTTAGAAAAAATGTCTACGGCCTAATTTGAAACTTTGAACATATTAAAATTAAATTGCCAAAGTATCTACCCTGAAGTGTGCCTGCAGCTACAGTTACTCCATCTGCTTTAAACCCCAATGCCGTCAAAGGTGTATCTGTATGTATAGATTTCAAAGTTCTGCGATGATGGAATATCAAAATGTTAAAATATTGATCCATTAATGGTTTTATAAAAAAATCTTATACATACGTCTTTTTACCAACATCGTACAGAACGATACGTTTATCCAAACCACCGCTACACATTAAGTGTGAATTAAAAGGTGAAAATGCGATTCCTTTTATCTCAGAATAATGTGCACTCTCAAATGTCTGTAAAGCCGTTGAAGAAACACTGGTATCCCATAATCGTAATGATCCATCCTCACCCCCAGCAGCCAATAGACCTCGTTTGAAGAAAGAATATTCCAGAACATTTATAGACTAAAGAATTTTTAACATTTCGCATAATAATATCAAAATCACGCACTTAAAGGAAAAATAAAATGAATTTGCCATACCTGTTTTGTTAAAACAGTTAAATTATCCCATGCATTAGATTTTTGCCGATTATGCACAAGGATTTGTCCACTTATGCTAGAGCTGGCCACAATGGTTTCATCAACATTTAAATCAATGCATGTGATAGTGCTGCGATGTCCCTAGTGAATTTTAATATTGTCATAGTTTTTAATGTATAAAGGTAAGGAAACGAGCAGAAATCAGCCGATTTCTTTGGGAGTTTATAATCTTGCTAAGTCCCGGATTGTTAATCTTATATTAACTATCAGGTATATCTATGTAATTAACTGAAATCACCCAATTTCTGCATATTCTTTAAAAAATTGTTCAAAAATCATACAATGTCAATAAATCAACAATTACCTTAAATGATTCGGTAAACGTTGATTCTTTACGATCCCAAATGTTGACAATTTTATCGGACCCTCCATACATCACGTATCGTGATTTATTTGCAAACCGAACAGCATTTATATCTGTTATATCCTAGATTATCCATGAATTAATTCAACGTATAGTTCAATTCTCTGGTATTTAGTGGGCAACCAATATTTCATGTAATATTCACCGATCCTTCATCATTCAATGGGATGGTCTCGAGAAGTTTTCCCTGTGAATCGTGTATCGTAAGACTTCCTTCATTTCCCGCTATGGCCAAGTGTTGACCTTAAAAGTAAAAAATTAAGGAAAGTATAAACTCCGGACTCGGACTATTCTACACATTATAATCATTAATCAAAACAGTGCCATATAAACATTATTTATTGTAAACACGAAAGGATACTGTCGTGACTCCATCGAACTGCATTGACAGCCGTCGACAAATCGGCAAGTGTAAAAGAAGCTACTTCGACACCAAATAGTTGTTCTGGGACACTACTTGTAGTAGCTTTTCCTTTGAGTTTTGTGTTTTCTATGCTTGTCTGTAAATCCCATACTTTGATATCAGCTGATGCTGATACTAATAAATTTGATGGCATTTATGTTATTAATTTTGCTTAAATTTATATTCTTTAATTCTACGCGAAAATTCAAACGTCGAAGCAGTGTTGTAATTAGATTTATATACGCGGATTATTTTTGTGCTACCGTCGCCAACTATGTATTATGTACTGCTACACAGGAAAGTTGGTGTAATATTTGTCGCTGCATATTTTAACTTTGTATAGATACAGATAAACAGAGAATATTGTTTCAAGACTAGTTTAATTTTTCACTGTTCAGTGCCACCCTCTAAATGAATCAACCAACTGTTTTCATATCGATCGAGGTTAGATTTAGAATAGCAGGTAGATTAGTGATAAATTTTGTAACTCGAGTCATTTTCCCGAAAGAACATAATCTCGAGCTGGCGTTAATTATAATGCATACTGATTCAGTTGGAAAATCATACTGTAACCAGTGTTATAAATTCAAAAAATTTTTATTCGTGCAAACGCAAAAAAATGTTCATAAAAAAAAAAATTTTATACGCGCGCTATATATACGGAGAGCGCTGATATACGCGCAAATTTAAATTTACATCACTGACTGTAACTAAGCAATTAAATGATATCTTATAAAACCGTGTTATATATAATACTATTGTTTAATGATATCATTCATTTAATCTATCCCATCTTCGCGATTCAGCTTTTATGCGTTAAAAAAGGTTGTTCAAACGCTTCTTTTATTCTCTTGATCTAAAATTATTATATCTCACTCGAAAATTCAAAGGATAACATACAAATTAGTAATGATAAAAAAGATTACCTTCTGTTCACCCAGGCCAGGACATATGGCAAGTTCATCTGACGAGGCATTCATAATTCGTTTAAGAGACTATTGTATGAAATGTTTAAGATCAATTATTGAGCTGTTTTCAGGGAAGTACGAAAATTATTACTCACCCCAAATGACGATGCGAGAGTGACAACATCAGTTTTGTTTATAGATCTTATTTGTGTCAAGCAATGCGTCAACTATTATTGATCATGTAAAAAAGTGAGATATTTATGGCCATATATAAAAATGTTCAATTGTAAAAATGAAATAGCACCTTTGCTAAATAATCATTTTCGACTTTTTCCATTATTATTTCTGGAGTTTTATATTCAAACGTTTTATATGTTTCAAGATATCTTCCCGCTTCTTCTTGACTAAAGAAATTGATTTGAAAATTAACCCAATTAATCAGAATGAAAGTAATTCTATTTGTTACCTCCACGCCAATATTATTGTAAAATTGTTAATAATACAAAGTTTTGTAAGTTCACGAATTGATTCTTGATGAGATTCCTGAAATAAATAAGGCTAAATCAACATCGGCTAAAAAATTTTTAGAAAAAAATAAATATTTACAATATCGACAAGAATTAACAAAATTCTTAATATGTATTGATGGGCGAGTTTTTCCATCCTATTAAAAATATATTCAGGATGAAGGCGATGATATTTAAGACTATATAAATATATAGCTTCGATAAGTATATCAATTGATATAACACATAAGTTAATGTAAATCGAATCGAAGTCATCATACCTAAGAAATAAGGCACAAGTTGTCTGACCTAGCAAGTAATCTGGCGCAATTTCGCTATATTCCCATGGTACGTTACGGATGAATTGCAAGATTGGATTGCCACGCTAGAATTTTGAGATATCATATAATTTGAATTAGCCAATAAGTAAAAAATGTATTTTTTAAACCATACCTGACATCCATTTACAATAATTGCATTCGACGAAACTGATCGCTTTGATGAAGATGTAGATCCACTATTAGCTAAAAAAGGGCCCTTATCCAAAACTTCTCTCGCACATTTTACAATATGTTCAAATCTAACAGGGCCAAGCGAAATTCCACCAAACCATCTCGTAATAATTACAGCTACGTTCTTTGCATTCAACGTTTTAAGAAGATTTAAGACACGTTCTCCTGCATATTTCTCCCCATCATCATCACTTTCTGGTCAATAAAAAATATATGTTTGTGAAAAATGGCAAGTATATCAATTTATTAAATTCACAACGAAAGTTTTATACAGTCACCACTCTCTAAACCGGTTCTGGATAAACCGAACACTAATAGACTCTAAACTAAACTTTTACTAACAAGAGCCGTAAGAGTGGGTTGCCTGTACTACTTATGACTGAATAAGTGAATGTAAAATAAACCTTCAATAATGGTTCCATCTGAATATTCTAATCGAAAAGCCAACACATTATGTGTCGCGTTTTTTTCCTCAAACCTTATTTTGCTTAGAAAATTATTAACTTCTTGCTTAGTTTCTACTCTTTTTGCATGAGCAACAAATATGCTCCTACGATCCTTAATTCGTGAACTATGAAATACATTTGTTGAAGTTGATTTGGCAGAACTTTCGCTTATCTCTCCTGACATTGTTTCCGGAAGTAAAAATCGATAAATCTGAGTTGTTTTTAACCTTTTATGGTATTTCTGCAGGCCATCCCAATACAATTCATTTAAAAAGAGCAATATTTGGTAGGGGTTTCAAATCACTTAAGCACATCATAAATATTTATAATGAGCGAAGAAAAAGTTACGACAGATATTATTACGTTGACCCGACATGTTCTTGATGAACAACGTAAACATAAGGAGGCTAGTGGCGATTTAACTTTGTTATTAAATGCCATTCAACTTGGCTGCAAATTCGTAGCGACCAATGTCCGAAAGGCGAGGTTATTAAACCTGTAAGAATTTATTTTAAACGGCGAATTTCAAAACGTCATTTACTAAAAATAAAAGTCGAATTTCATATCAAGCTTTGTACTATCTGGAGCTTATAAATTTTACTTTTATCAGAATTGGTCTTGCTGGTGGTGTACATAATATTTCGGGTGATGAACAAAAAAAACTTGACGTTATCTCAAACGAAATTTTTATCAATGCACTTCGCTCTTCTGGAAAAGTGGCCGTGATGGTTTCTGAAGAAAATGAAGAAGTGATCATTGTTGAAGAGGGATTGAAAGGGAAATATTGTGTAGTGTTTGATCCGTTGGACGGTTCTTCTAATATTGATGCAGGTGTCAATGTTGGTACAATTTTTGGCGTTTATCGTGTAGTAAGTTTGTTGCTTTTAAATAGCCATTGTTTTGATGTTATAATTTGTACATCTAATAATCTTGATGATTGTAAAAGGCTGAAGGATCACCCGGGTCAGTCAAAGATGTTCTTCGTCCTGGCAATGAAATGGTTGTTGCTGGTTATTGTATGTATGGTAGTTCGGCAAATATGGTTATTACTGTTGGAAATGGAGTGAATGGCTATACCCTTGACAATGTAAGCTTTTAATGTGATATTTGTAAACTAATTTTGATAGGTTCTTATTCTGGTTTGTTTTGTAGTCGATTGGTGAATTTATCCTTACCCATCCCAATGTAAGTGAGAATAATAAATGAATACTTTATATATTTATATAATAACTTAAATTTTTTACAGATTACAATCCCTTCTCGTGGCAAGATATACTCAGTGAACGAGGGTAATGCAAAGTACTGGCATGAAGCTTGCGAAGAATATTTCCATTCACTTAAATTTCCACCAGAAGGTAAAAACCCATATTCGGCCCGTTATATTGGATCTATGGTAGCAGATGTCCATCGTACATTTTTGTACGGTGGAATATTCGCGTACCCTGCCGATAAAAAATCCAAAAATGGAAAGCTTCGCTTGTTATACGAATGTTTTCCTATGGCCTTCTTGACAGAACAAGCGGGTGGTAAAGCTACTACTGGTTATGAAAGAGTACTCGATGTTTGTCCAGAGGATATTCATTCTAGATGTCCAATTTTCTTAGGTAGCAAAGATGATGTGGAAGATGTCGAAAAGATTTATAAGAAGTATTCGAAATAATGTGTTAATTCAATTTAATTTAGTATAATAGATTCGTTTTCCATTTTACCAGTTTTGCGTGTATCACTAATCATAATAGGAGGCACTACCGGATATCATATGTGCACTATTGTGAATCAGATCAATTATTTAAGAATGTCAATTTAATTAACACAGTATTCAACATTGTCATTATATTATTTATTGTACAATTGCGCATGTTATTTCGTACTTTTTTGGTATGACTTCTGTGACACTCTGAAAGTAGATGTATTAATTAAAGATCGATATTCAGCGAAAAATGGTTACGGATCAAATTTCGAAAACCAAAATCCCGAAACTTAATTATTGCGTCGTGTGATACCGGCGAAATAATATTTAGAGTCCGCAGATGATTAGTACTGTGTTTGCGCGAAATAACGCTCATAAGCGTCATTTAGGAACAAATAGTTCGAAAAGAGCTCATAACTAATTTATTCGAACACATAACCAAAAATTAGCTAATCACTATTATCGTCTCCAAGTTGACCTTCTCGTCGGTCTCTCAGTTATCTGCGGATTCTAAACACATAGTAATAACGATAATGATTGCTAATTATCTGCAGACTAGGGTTCGGACACGGGTAAAAAATTAGGCATACCTCCGAGGCATACCCTGAGTTTAGGCATGCCATTTTTTATATAAAGTTAGGTAAAAATTTTCTTTCTACATAGTGTTGTTCGGTAAATCGGCGAGTCTGTCGCCAAACTAATCCAACTCTCGCGTAACCTACGATGGCTAAGTCGAAATAGGCATGTTAGATTTGGTTGGTGGTTTATCCGTAGGTAAGTACTAATCTTCTCTTCTAAGTCTTTCCTTCAACCTATTCTTCTATTAACCCTTGCCTTCTCTTCTCTGCTCTTATATGACTTAACCCGGGCTTACGATACGTCGAATCGGATTTGGATCCTTCTCTTGCGTTAACGACTTGGTCACGTGACTTACGGCGAACGATCAAAATGCGGTTTAGTGGGTTACAAATGGTCGAACGATATGGATAACGAGGAGTTTAACGATTGTTTATTAGTTGGATGGGGTAGAAATTTCGCTTTTACTATGGATCGGGTACTTAGTTTTATGTACGCGGGTGTCCTTCTCTCCCGGGCAGAAATGCCCCTTTATTTATAATAAACGTTTTATTTACATTGGTAATTAATTTTTGTCATAAATGCAATATATTCCTTATACTCTATAAGTAACCGAAATAGCAGAAGTAAGAAACTTTTCTCGTGACCTTGGATCGGGTATAGATCGTCGTCTTAATTCGGGCACTCGTGATCAGGGACAGTGATTTTATGCGGTGACAAAATCTAAATTATGTGATATGAAAAAATGAATTATGCGATGTAATGTGAAATGATTTTTTCGAGATTATGTGTAGTTATGTGGTCTGAGTAGCTGATTATGTGCCAATATGTGATCAAATTCGAAATAAAAATTTTATTAAATGAATATAAAAAAATAAAAAAAATTGTATCCTAATTTTCATTAAAATACATCATTGCTAAAAATTTTAATGATTCTTCAGATAAATTTTGCCTATTATCATCCAAGATTGTATTATATAATGAAAAGCTACGTTCAACATTGCAGCTTGAAATAGGTAGTCAAATATAGTTTAATGCTATATTTGACAAAATCAGAAGTTGAGAATTTAAATCCAACCAAAACTTGTTTAATCCTGTTTCTTTAAACCTGATATCAGTTGGTAAATTACAATAGATTGATCATTCACAGATTAAATCATTAGATGGATTTTCAAATTCTTTAATTACAGAATAATGGCAAATATCTTTTCTCAAAATATCATTAGTATGTAAATAAGTAGAATCAAAAACATGGCAGACTTGAAAAATATTGCGAGCTGGATGATGAGGTATATGGTTGAAAAATTTCTTATATGCTGCTTGAAAGACATTACGAAAAATAGAATAAAAATCTAATGGATCGAATTTATAGTTAATAATATAGTTTTCTAAATCAGAACTAAAATATTAAACATAGCAGTTTGTTTCAATATATGCAGTAAGTTGTTCTAATCAACCCTCTACAAAAGAAAAAATTGCTTGATTTTGCTGTTGAAAAAAATCCAGATCCTGAACAAATTCTTTTGCAAAAATAGAAATAAAATTAATAATAATCTTAATAGTTCTGAATATTTCTTCATTTTGTAACCAAGAATTAATTTCAAATAAATTTTCATGTATCAGATCTGCTGTCAATTCTTGTAAAAAAAATTCAGGTCAGTATTCAATATAGGTTTTTAAATAAAAAATCATTCGGAATCAGGAGTTTCATCAAGTTGCATTTAGAAATGGAATTTTGCATGGATTCATAACTCCGTTCATTTTTAAGTAAATTAAATATCGACCTTGTCAAGCTGGTGATTTGACAAATATATCTTTTACTTTTACTAAAAAGGTTATTAAATGAAAAAAGCTCAGAAAAGTTCTCCATGTATCCCTAAATTGAAGTTAAATATAAATTAATAAATAAAATAAATATTAAAAAATAATTTAAATATTTTATCTGATTAAATTAAGAATATGTATGCAACAAGATACATGAATAAGTTGCAGCATTAATGATACTAATACATCTCTATAACATTTTTTCATATACGTTACTGAATCTGACAGAAAAAGACATGGAATATTAAAGGAAATATTATAACTAGAAAGTATAGTGATTAAAGTTTGACCAATTGTAGTATTATTAATGATATTAAGAAAATTAACAGAAACCAGTTTTGTAAAATTATAATATACAAAAAGGGTATTAACAACACTTCAAGCACAACTATCAGTTGTCTTGTCTATAATAATAGAAACAGGTTTGTTATTAAAAATTAATTTGAGACTATTTTGATGCTTGTCAAAAATATAGGATAAATATATATGTCTTAATGTTGAAGATTGGGGTATTCCACCTTCTTGTTTAAGATATTTTTTAAAAAATGGAAGCAAATGATCTACTTTTTCGAGTGGAATATCTGCAATCACAAATGCTTGAATTAAATCCTCAATAACTTCATTTTTTATTTCAGCTGCATTTAGACTATAACGAATAGATACTTGTCATTTAATATCTTTTTGAGCTTCATATTCTGCTTTATTCGATTTATGTTTATTACTAAGACAATGATTATCAACTGTTGATTTTGATCTTCATTCAATTGCTTCATTACAATATTCACATACTAAAACATTATTATTAATATGAAAAGTGTTTGGATGTTCTTTAAGCTAGGTATCTATTGCAATTCACTTTTTTTTAGACATTGTTAATAGTAAAAAAATAAATTATTAATAACCCGAAGGTAAGAAAACTTTATTGATAACATTTATATATCTTTTACAAAATCTTTTACTAATTTCTATTTCATCTATGAATTTTAAAAAGAATTAAAAAATTCATTGTAATCAAGATTTAGAAATTTAAACTATTCTTTTTCACGTGAGTTTAAAGACTATATAAAGTAACTTTATTTTTTTACATATAAGTC